ACAGCACAATAACCATTTATCAAGCACCTACTGTGTCCCAGCATCAAGTACTGGATATATATTAAGTCATGAGATCTTCATACCACCCCCCATGAGATGAGTTTTACTGATATCTTCCAGAGGAGGACACTGAGGCCCAAGGATCCAGAGCAGGAGACTGAGGTGCTCAGAGTAGGCTTCTGGAAGGAAGGGGCCACACCGAGCCCTGAGTTGAAAGGGAAGAGGGGAGAGGTTGGAGGAAATGGGCTGGGAGTCTGAGAAGGCTGTCAGTGATAGGGCTGCCTGAGGTGGGGACTGCCATGGAAGACGACACCCTAAGGAAGTGATGGAGGGCTTTCCATACCTCTGCCCTTGGAGTCTTGGCCTCAGCCTTGGCCACAGTGGGTATCCCTCCGCGTTGATCACTGTGTAGAGTCCCCTTCAGCTGGGCCCCAGTGCCCTTCCCTGTAGCCAGGTACCCCATGGAGGACACAGAGGACAGGAGCTGGGGTGCATCCAGATGAGTGTCCTTTCCCTTGGAAGTTCCCGGGCCTGACCCTCTGTAACATGCCTAAGTGGGACCCTGGCATCCCTGAGTCCCTTCTGGCTCGGGGAGGGGCACAAGAGGGGGCAAGAAAGTCCTAGCCCTGGACGCAGCTCCAGGCCCACATTCTAGGGGGACTTTCTTGCCAGCTGACCCTACAGGCCCCCATCTCCTGCCCCCTCTGCGGCTGCACCAGCGCAGGGCTCTGACCTATGGATTTTCTGCCACTTCCTGATCCACTTCACTGCAGCCTGAGTCTTTAGGACTTCATTACACCTGTGGCCTCGGCAACCCCAGCAGAGAGGACTGCCATCGCCAGAGGGGAGCATGGGGCTTCCGCTGTGGCTCCCGGAGGGCTACAATGCCCCCAGCTCCTGGGATTCAGCCTTGGAGAAACTCTGAGTTCTTCAAGGAGCTCTCTCTTGAGGTCACATCCCGTTCACCCCCTATCTAGGTGGGGCCACAGAGCCCTGAGCTCAGGGACACCACCACCCCACCCCTGCCAACCCCTCATTGCCCAGCTGGGAAAGTTATCACCCAAGGAGGGGCAGTGGCCCCTCAAGGTCACACAGCAAGTTACTAAAGGCACTCAGAATCAAATCTGTGGCGTTAAGCGGGACATGGGGTCCAGCAGCTCCACAGGGACCTCCTGCTGGGTCCCGGCTCCATCCCACTCCCCAGCCCTGCTCCATGCCCTGTGCTGCATGCCCAGCCCCCACCCGCCTCCCCCGTTCCTGGTCTCCATTTTTCTTGCTAATTAGAGGTCTCAGCAATGACTCCACTGTCCCAGCCATTTTAGAGCTGTCATTAATTTCAAGTGGCTTCAGAAATAATCATCATCGTAAAACCCCGCGAGCTGCCGAGATACAAGCGGGCATACAGGCAGGCCTGTGTGTGCCACCCGTTCCTTCCTGTTCCTTCCTGTGCCTCGGGGAGCTGGCCCTTCCTCCTGCATCCTCAGCTTCCTGGGGAGGGGTGGGGGGGAGAGCAGATTTTGGGCTGTGACATCAGACACACGCTGGGCTTTGAAGCCCAGCTCTACCTCTTGAAGAGTGAGCTTGGGCAAGATACCAGCCCTCCCAGAGCCTCAGTTTTTCATCTGTACAATAGGAATAGCAATACTAATCTTGAAGGGAGAAGCATGTAAAGTATAGCTCAGAGCCTGGCTTACCGTAGGAGCTGAGTGAACGTTAGAGGGCCCTGTCCCCTCTGCCTGAGTCCCCTGGGGAACCCATTCTAGTTTCTCTACTTTGCTCTGATCACTCTGGCCACTGCAGGTTGACTGCTCCTCCCAGCCAGCAGCTCCTGCTTTTTTGTGACCTGCTGAGTTTTCACCCTGGAGCTAGGATTTGCTCTGCACCTATCCCCACCCGTGAGGCAGGTAGTTTCAGGCCTGCTCCTGGGAGCTCCTGTTGGTGGGGACAGAGAGGGAGGGGACTAGGGCCTTGCTTCTAAGGCCATTTCAGTTTGGGGAGAGGAGACAGGACAGAAGAGAATGGGCTCAGTTGGGTCTTGAAGCACAGGTGGAAACCAGGCAGAGGGCATGCCAAGCAGGTGGACCAGCAAGGACAAAGGCCTGAAAGGGTGGGTGAACATCCTTTCACTGTAGCTCCAGGGTCTAACCCCCTGGTTGTGTCATTAAGCCTTGGACCGGGCCACTGCAGTGTGTCACGTTTTCCATGGTCCTGGGGTCCCTGAGAGGGATCTCAGTAGGAGCGGAGAGATGCCTATTCCAACAGCTCATGCCAAGAGACCTCTGATTGGGGGAGGACCCAGGGACAGACCTCCTCACCCTTTTATGGGGTCTTTGAGTGACAAGGCCAGGGGCCTGCACTCTCCCCAGGCCCAGGCTGGACCGTCAAAAAGGCCTTTTCTCCAAGTTCTTCCCCTAAACCCTCCCCCACCCCATTGTTTCCAGTGGTGAAATAAGGCAAGGAGGGCCGCAAGGGGTCATTTCTCTTGGAAAGAAGGGAAGGGGGAATGGCCTGGGTACTGTGCATCGTGGAGAACTAAGGCCCCGGGTCAGTTCTTCCCAGACGAAGCTCTTGGTCACTCCTGCTGCCTCAAGTCGCAAAGGGATACGTGTGGGCCCCAGAGGACCCCACCCCAGACGCTGACTTCCTTAGCCAGCATCTGGGGTTTGGGGGTGGGGGCAGTGGGCTCTCCCCCATTCCTCCCCCGAGATCACTGAGGCAGAGAGCAGGTGAGTCGGGGGCGGAGATGCCGTGGCCGCGCTGTGCCTGCGTCAGTCGCCGCACCAGGAATAGCCCCCGCCCCCGCCCCCGCCCCCCAGCGGGTCTGCGCGCCCGCCGGGCGCCTGGCGGAGCCTTTACGCAGGAGCTAGAGAGCGTCTATTCCTGTCGGGCTGGTGGGAGGAGGCGGCGCGGGAGGGCGGGAGCTCACGGGTAACTCACCAGCAGCCGGGGTGGGGGAGCCGGGGAGCCTGGGAAGGGGGTCCAGGCAGCTGAGAGTTGAGGGGCAGGGAACCGCCTGCGCTGGGCTCTTGAAGGGACAGGACACCTGTGCCGCCTCCCCTCTTCCCCGCCCACCTGTAAGTCCTTCTGCCAAGCCTGCCCCCTACTGGTTTACTCAGCTCTGGAAGGCGATTCAAATTCCCATTCTAGGCTTTACAAGCTGTGTGACCTCGGGCGGGTCCTGTAATCGCTCTGAGCCTGGGGCTCCTTCTCTCCGTCACCGGGGGAACAAGAGCGCCTCCTGGAGGGCTGTTGGAGGGTGAATGTAGAGTGCACACCACCGCATCCGCACTTGGTAGGACGGGCTCCCGCCAGACCGAGGATGAGGATGGACACAGCACAGAAGACGGGGGATGGTTTTCCAGGCGGGACTGTCCAGACCCGTGGTGTGGCAGTGAGCCTAGAAGTACCCAGAGATGTTTAGCTGGAACGGAAGGTTTGCGCAACTCTTTGGGCTGTGTGTGTGAGGCTGGACAGTGGAGACGCAAGATGGTGTCGGGGGTAAGGGGAGACTGCCAGCCCCGCGCCGGGCAGATATCGGTAATGAATGTTGGGCAGGCTCTGTTGGGGGAGGGGATTCTGGGAGCAGGATCCTGGGGTTTGTGTCAGAGACTTAGAGGCCTCGGGTCAGGCTCCTCTTCCCCAGACCCAGTTTCCTTCTAGGCCTGCCAAAACCCTTACTCCTGCGGGGTCCGCAGTGTCAGCGGCACTAATGTGCTAATGGGCTGCACTAACAGGGGAGAAGGGTCAGATGTGCCCGGTGGTGTCAGCACTGATGCTTAGTCTAAGCAAACTAGCTTGGTGTGAAAGGGCAAATGGCTTTCAAGGAGGTGGCAGGGACATGGAAGGAGGTGAGTTGCCTTAGTTTACTCTGCAGGCTGCTAAGACACGGCCTCCAGTTGATTCTCCGCATCCACTGATCAAGAAGGATCTGGATCTCTGAGGAGAGGCCCGGTTCTTTGGGCCTATCTAAGTCTGTGGCCCCAGCCCAGAATCCCCGGGATCTTTGGGATCAGAGAGACAACCGTGCCCAGACTGAGGCTCTGCGCTGCCCTCTGCTGGTCTCTGGATGCAGTGCCGGTGGCCAGAGCCGGCCGAAGCCGCCTGCTGCCCTCTGCTGGAAGAGAAGCCAGGTTGGGCGGGGACCCGGGCTGCAAAGGGCGGGGCAAGACCCCTCTTGGGGTAAAGCCGGGGAGCTGGCGCGCCTCCCTCGCGTTCCCCCGGAGCTCCGCTCTCTACCTGCCTGGCCCCCAGGCCGCCAGGATGTGGACCCTTTAGAGATTCGAGGACATTTGGAGAAGAGGGGCAGGACAGAGGCTCGGGGCCTGGCCCTTCCCACGCCGTCCTCCAAACAACCCTGGCTGGGTGGGGAGCCGTGCCCGTTCACGTGCATGTGTCCGTCCACACGGCAGTGTGCAGTGACCCTGGTTAACACGTGTGAACACACTCACGTGCTCACGTGCACACGTATGTGGCCACACAAGAGGGTACGTGCACACACTCAGGGAGGAGCGTAGCCCAGACTTCCCTGAGTCCGGCAGGCCCGGGACTCGGAGGGGCGCGGCCGGTGCGGGGCTGGCGCTCCCGGGCGCCGGCTGAGGCGCGAGCCTGGCGCGCCCCTCGCCTGCGTCCCCCCTGCCAGTTTCGTTGCCCCATCCGCGCAGGGCAGCGGTTGGGGCGCTCCTCGCTCTCCGCCCCCTCTGCCGAAAGAACACTAGCCCCCCACCCCGCCTCCCCCCTCCTTGGTTTTGCGGCCGCGCCTTCTCCTCCCCCGCCCGGCTCCCGCCGCTCGCTTGCTCCCTCCCTCCCTCCCTCGGTCCCTCCTCCCTCCCCGGCTCGCTCCTCGCTCCTCGCGCTCCCTCCCCGCGCCGCGGCAGAGCGCGGAGCCCGGGCGGGAGCCGGTGCGGGAGCCGGAGCGGGCGGCCGGCGACAGCGCAGGCGGCAGCGGCGGCGGGTCCCGGCCCCCGGCCCCGGAGCGCGCGGAGTCCCCACCCGCGCGGCTCCGGCCCCTCTCCCGCCGCGGGGCTCCGAGCAGCATGCGCGGCCGCTGCCTGCCGGCCTCAGCCCTGGCCCCGGCCCCGCTGCGGAGCGCGCCCGGCCTCGACCCCGGCCCCAGCGGCAGAGGCGGCGGCGGCGGCGGCGGCGGCTCCAGGCCGGCCCGGGGCGCGGAACCAGACTCGCCGAGTCCGCGTCGCGCATCCTGAGCGCGCCCGCCCCTCCGCCCGCCGGGGCCGCGGTCTCCCGCCTCCCCACTCCCGCGCCCTTGCCCCGGCCCCGGCTCCGGCTCGGCTCCCGCCCGCGTGGGACAGACAGACGCACAGACAGCCCCGCGTGGACGGCCGGGCGGAGGTGTCGGACGAGGAGGAGGAGGAGACGGAGGAGGGGGCTGGGCAGGGGCTGAAGCCCGGCGGGGGAGACATGCGATTGGCGACCGAGCCGAGCGGACGGACGGTGCGCCCGAGATGCAGGTGAGCCCGGCGGCCGCGGCCCAGCCCCGAGCGGGCAGCCCCGCGGCGAGCTCCCGTGCGGGCCGCCGTTGGCCCGGTTGCGCCCTCCTGGGGCCGCGGGACACCCCAGCACCACCCAGATTCTTCTTTGGGGTCACAGATCTGACCCTCCTGGAGCCTCAGAAATGGAGAGTCCTTTCCCTTTCCTCCCAGCCCAACAAATTCCTTGTTGGCTAGCTGGAACCCCAGAGCTGTGGAGGGGCCCCCGCGGGCTCCTAGTCGGGCTTGTCCACCGTCCTCCTCCCCTTCTGAGCACCATTCATCCTGGAGGGTAAGTCCCTTGCTCAGCGGGGCGGCTACCCCTCTCCTTAGATCCCAGATACCCCTGGCAGCCCTGGCCAGCGCTGGGCACTGGCTAGCTGGAGGGTGCAGGCGAGGGACCAGTTTTCTCCACGGGCTCCAGCCTGGGCACCAGCTCCGTCCCCGACCAGGAGCAACCCCCTTCCAGCTCGAGCCCAAAGAGGGGGAGGAAAGGGGAAATCGGGCGTGGGGAGAGTGCAGGAGAGGCAGTTGGGATTGTGGAGGACCCAGGAACCCTTTAGGGGCCTCCCTTTGTCTGTCTTCAGCCCCAGCTTCTCACCTCCTCCTGCCCCACTTTTCATTCTGAGGCAGCCAGTGGGAGGTGGGAACCAGCTGAGAAAAGGGAGGTGAGGAGGGAGTGTCCTGTTCTGCCTCCCCACTCTCGATGAGGTGGCCAAGGCGCCCCCAGAAGATGTGTCCCTCCGGGTGGCTTCCGCTTGGAGGAGGGGTGGGGCGAGGTCCAGTGGACAGTGCCCTGCCTGCTCCTGGCCGGGCCGCAGCCCAGCCCCAGTGCCCTCCATCCCTCCTTGTGCTGGAGGCATCCCCTTTGTTCTCCGAGGTCCTGGGCTCTGGGGGTTCGGGGGGGGGGAGAAGGGGCGTGAGGGAGGTACTGGGGGGGTGCAGGAGGCCCTGAGGTGGGGGGCAGTGCCATCTGGGCCAGCCCCTTCCCTGCCAGCCCAGCCCACCATCGGTCCTACGTCTTCGTGGTTTGGGCAGCCAGAGAGTTCGAGCCCAGCCTGGCCCGCTGCTCCGGGCTCAGCCCTGCCGGTCATCCCGGCAACAGCTCGGGCACTGGCGCCTCCCGTGCCTAGGGAGCAGTGAGCCGGGCACCCAGGCGGCAAAGCGCCTGGGGCTTACTCACATCCAGCGAGGAGTGCCGATGAGGGAAGAGAGGGTCAGCGGTTCCCAGCCCCTTTGTCCTTATGTGGGACCTGGTCTGCCAGGACAGCTTGCCTGCTTTCTCTCCACTGCCTGAGGCAGGAGAGAGGCAATGAGGCGCCAGAAGGGAGAGGCCAAGAACTCCCCAGAACCCAGATAGGGACTCCTGGCAGCACCCCTATGCCCCTACTGGAGGGGGGCTTAGCAAAGGTGAGGGTAGCCCCCCTGTGATGTGCTCTTTGTCTCTGTCTCCTCCCCCATCCCCTGCCAGTGAAGTGTGAGATGTGCCTTGGTCAAGTCTGCAGTGCTCCCCAGGGCCTTGGTCATCCCAGGGGCCAGATTTGGGGGGGGGCTGGGCTGGGTGTATGCTCAAAGCCCAGGAATCTTGGCTTGTGGGCTGAGGGCCCCCGTGTTGACCAAGGAGAGACTGCCCTGCCCCTTGCAGGAGTCCTTTTTGATCCTAGTAGTCAGGTGCTCCATCCCTGCCTCTGAGCACCCGGGTTTTCCTTTACTAGATATTGTTTTGTAAAACTCGGAATTCCAGAGGGACACCAAAAAACCCCAAATCTCAAATGACCCAAACCTCCTGTGTGGGGGGTTGCTGTTCTCATAAAGCCAGGTGGGACCCCTAGAACCAGTGATGCTCAGCTGGCGCTGCCCCCCGGGTGCCCACCAAAGCAGATGGCTGGGGGGTCACGGCCGGGGCTGAGGGCACGTTCCTGGGGAGAAGTGAACCTGTGCAGTGATTTACACAGGGTCCCCTGGAGGCATCGTGTCCTGTGGGGCTAGTGAAAGGCCAGGGAGGGGAGGCGGTAGATGACAGTGACTTCAGTCAGAGCCTTGCCTTGCTGCTTGCTGGCCAGGGTCTCCTGGTCTAGCTGTTCTGTGTGGCACCTATGGAAAGATGGTAGCTTCCAGCCCCAAGGCCGCCCCCCACCCCCACCCCCCCACCTTCCCAGTGGTTACCCGTTGATGGCTCTCTGTTCTTTTCCCACCAGTTCCTCTACACATCCCCCATGACCTGTCTTGGTCCAGCATCCCTACCCAAGGCCCTCCTCTCTTCTTCTCCTGGCCCCTCCTCGAGGGAGCCTCCTTGAGGCTCTAAGTTACTGATCCTCCTCCTCCAGGCACCCACAGTGAAGAACCACGCTGGTTTGCACTCAATACTGTACCAGCCAAATTAGTTCCTGTGTTTATTTTACACATCCTGGCTGAGCTCTTTGGTTCTGGAGTAGGCCCTCTTATGGCTCCCATGGATTGCCTTGAACACCCTGGGCAATCCTGTCCCCGTCCCCTGGGCTCCCCTGATTGGCCCCTGGGATGGGGAAGACACTGGGAGGCACCAGGGAGCAGCTATGGCTGGTGGCAAGGACTACCTGGAGGGGACACGGTGTCTTCAGCCTGTATGGATGCACAGAGCTAGGTGACATCAAGGGTGCCCCAGGTGGGGTACTTAGTAGCACACACAGGCACTCAGAGAAGGATGGGATTTGCTTGTGGGGGCTGAGGTAGTCAGGGGTCCACCAGAAAGAGAGAGGCTGAGGTGGCAGCAGACTTTGCAGAGACATAAAAACCAGAGGATTCCAGACTGGGGACGGTTCTTTGTAGAAAGAGTGTGGTAAGGCAGGCTCATTTCCAAGTGCATTTGAGGCATTCTTGATACTCACCTCTGTTTATGCATTGAATGAATGGATGAATAGATGGATGGATGAATATCCTTGGGTGAATGAATGAATGAATGAATGAATGAATATCCTTGGGTGCTGTGGAGCCAGTAGAGCTGTGCTGCCAACAATCTCATCCTCATGTGTGCTTGGTTCCTTTGATGTCACTTTATGGTGAACTTGTGGAGTGTGGACCCTGGGGCCAGATCTCAGCCCCACCTCTGCCTAGTTACTTCATCTCATGGGCTTCAGTCTCCTTATCCACAAAGCGAGGGTAACAAAGGCATTTACCTCTAGGAGTGGCAGGAGGATTAAGTATGCTAGCACACTGTGCATTTATTTTTATTTTTATTTAAAACATTTTTAATGTTTTATTTATTTCTGAGAGAGAGAGAGAGAGAGAGAGAGAGAGAGAGAGGCAGTGTGAGCAGGGGAGGGGTCAGGGAGAGAGGGAGACACAGAATCAGAAGCAGTCTCCGGGCTCTGAACTAGCTGTCAGCACAGAGCCCGACGTGGGGCTCGAACCCACAAGCCATGAGATCATGACCTGAGCCGAAGTTAGATGCTTAGCCGGACTGAGCCACCCAGGAGCTCTGACACCGAGCTTTTAGAACAAGGCCTGGTAGGGGCGCCTGGGGGGCTCAGTCAGTTAAGTGGTTAAGCATCTGACATCAGCTCAGATCGTGATCTCACAGCTCGTGTGTTCAAGCCCCATGTCAGGCTCTCTGCTGACAGCTCAGAGCCCAGAGCCTGCTTCAGATTCTGTGTCTTCCTCTCTCTCTGGCCCTCTCCAGCTCATGCTCTGTCTCTCTCTCTCTCTCTCTCTCTCTCTCCTTCAAAAATAAATAAGCATTAAAAAAAAAAATAGAACAATGCCTAGTATACAGTAAGCTCTCAAGAAGTGCTCACTACTCATAGTTTATATCAGTGATGTGTTCGCAATCTTTTTCTTGTAACTGGTGCAAAGATTTGATTTTATATCTGAGGAAACCGAGAGCCAGAGAGGTGGAATGACTTGCCCAAAGTCCCCAGCCCACAAGCTCAGTCTAGAATGCTTTCCTCATTCTAGAGGAAATGCTCAGGGCTCACTGGTCTGGGCATGGCCTGGTGATTAATGAATGGATTTAGCATTAGTGATAACAATAATATAACAACATGGCAGCCCCATTCCCCAACCTGGACAGTAGCATTTTAATAACGATGTACATTTTCCATATGCTCCTCCTCGCTTTATTCCTGGCCACTCTCTGAGGCAGCCACTGTCCTAATTGTCTGTTTCGCATTCCCTTGCCTTTTTAAAGTCATGCATTTTAATGGATAGAAATGGTTCCATTTGTGTTACTTTTGAACTTTGTAAAAAGAACCTGAAACTGTATGCAGCCCTTTAGAATTTGCTTTTTTTCTTCAACATCATATTTGTAAAGCTTCTTCTATATTGTTGCAGATAATGGTAAACGTGGTTCATTTATTTCCATTGATGCGTAATGTTCTGTGATGCGAACATAACACAGTGTGTTTATCTTTTATTGATGGGCATGTGGGTTGTTTCCCTTTTTGTTCTTACAAACAATGCTGCTGTGAACCTTCTTGTCCTGTCTCCTGAGGCAACATGCAGAGTGTTTGGGGCACACAGCTAGGAGCGGAATTGCTGGGCCGAAGGGCATGTTCTTATTCAGCTTTACTCGAAAATGTGCCAAAGTGTTTTCCAAATTGGTTGGACCATTTATGCTTCCCCCCAGCAGGAGAGGAGTGTCCACATTGCCCTGCACCCTTGCCAACACTCCGTATGGCTGGCTGTCTTGGTTTTTACCAAATGATTGGGTGTAAAATGGTGTTACGTTACAGCTTTGATTTGCATTTCCAGAATTCAAGGTTTGTGGTGTATGACATGGGGGTTGAGATGGGCAGCAGCCAGTGTGTAACAGATGCTTAGGAAGTGATTGTCCCTTTCGTACCTCAGCACCTCCAGTCATGGGGTGCTGTCTGTACAAGCCCTGAGCTCAGGGATGGGCAGGAGCAGTCAGGAGGACCCCCCAGGGAAGTGAGGATGACAGAGGAGGCAGCAAGGAGAGATAAGTCCTGCGCAGTTAGAGCCAAAGGAACCCCAGTGGTTTGTGT